TCCCTCCGTCCCTCCGTCCCTCCGTCCCTCTGTCCCTCCGTCCCTCCGTCCCTCCTTAAAGATTGTGCTCAGCCCTCACTCTCAGGGCCTCTGTTTCACACGAAGGCCTACTGTCTGCCACAACCTTGGCTATGGCTTGGACATTCTGTAAAATATCTTAAAGTGATGATTTAGCCTGTTGTTCTTGGGGTACAGCCTCTCAGTTCTCAAACTGAGTTTCTAATAGCACTCTCCAATAAAGGCACCAGGTCTCCTTGGAGAAATAACCAATTCTAGGACTTGGGAAGTAAATATAGGGTGTCCCTGAAGAAATGCATACACACTTTAACAGCTGATAGCTCAATTGATGTTTCTTTTCAGACTTAACCCATTGGAATTAGTAATTATAATAAATGTGTATACATTTTGAGGGGACATGCTGTATATATGAGGAACCTGAGCGTGCACACACACACATCAGTGGGGACATAGGAAAGGGGTGCAGGGCACAACTAAAAGAGCTTCCAGTCACCAAAGCTGGACCAATCTGAGCAACAAAATTGATGAAGTAGTATTGGATTATAACCCCTCATGTAAAATAAACATCCAGGAGTCCATACCGAGGTAAACGAATGATGGAGTGAATTAACTGGCACTGGTGTGTTTTTCCTATAAGCAGTTAGCATATAGCTGTTTGTATGAACTGAGCTGTAAGAAAAGTGGTCTTACTCTGTTAGAAGACACAGGGATGCCAGTCCCAGGAGAGTCTTTTTCTTAACAAAGGTAGTGGATCTATAATCAGAGAGGAAAAACCTCAGGAGGAAGGAATAAATTATTTTTTTGCCTTTTTTTTTTTTTTTTTTTTTTTTTTTTTTAAGGNTAGAAGACACAGGGATGCCAGTCCCAGGAGAGTCTTTTTCTTAACAAAGGTAGTGGATCTATAATCAGAGAGGAAAAACCTCAGGAGGAAGGAATAAATTATTTTTTTGCCTTTTTTTTTTTTTTTTTGACTTGTTTCTAAGTGGAACTGACTTGAACATTTGACAAATTACATATAATCTGATATACTGAAGCCAAGTCAATCCAATTTAGTAAGGAAAATCTATCTGTGCACCCATACATATCCTCTCCCAAAAAATGCCCACTCCCCTTTCCTTTAACTGGGAGTCACTGGGAATGCAGTGTTTCAGGCCCTGGCACATCATTAACTTTTCCACCAGTGAGCATCTAAAGATAAGCCCAGGAGCCTCCGAGGAGGATTTTGAGAACTTAGTACCAGAAAGAACGTTAAGAAAGGTTCTCCCTGGTGCCCTATCCCATGTTATACGTAAGACATTCTGTCTTCCCTGGGCAGTGAACCTGGAGCCTTGTATCTGCACCCATCTTGAGAGGGAGAGCCTGAGGTTTTTTGACAAGTGCTGTTGGCAGGTGCTACCTATGATTTATCAGAGGCAGAGGCTACTCACTAAGCTGTAAAACAAAGTAGACCCTCTTTTTACCACTGCCCACCTGGGTGGATGTCGCTGTTTTCTGCAAAAGAACCCTGAGTTTTTTCACTTTGGTTTTCTGCCCCCCCCCCACAATTTTATTGAGATATAATTGATATAACAATGTTATTTTTAGGTGCTACTTAAAAAAAAATTGCTTTCAGATTTAATTCCTCTGCTTCTTTGGGCAGAATTCCCATCACAGGGTGTGCATTTTTGTGAATGGAAAACAGGCGCAGCCTGCTGGTGGGCTCAGTTGGTGGAGCTTCCCCCCAGGCACCAAGAGGTTGCCTGTTCCATCGGGGTGGAGCACACGCAGGCTCCGTCCGGGCAGGGGGCGCGCAGGAGGCAGCCCGTCGATGTTTCTCTCTCTCTCTCCCTTCCTCTCTCTCTAAAATCAGTAAAAACATTTTAAAAAAGAAAACAGGCCCAGAGATGTGCAGTGTCTGGAGTGATAGGAAAAAGTCAAGAGATCTGTGCCAGACAAAGATCTGCTAGACAAAGCGGACCTGGCCCAGTTTCCAGGCAGAGAACCACCTCCGGGCAGGGCGCCAGGGCTCCCCGCCAGGAGGGAAGAGGGTAGGGAGCCTGAGCTCCGGACTGCCCCACTCCCCGCCCTCGTTAGCTCCCTCGGGGGCCCGGGACTCCTGGGGGCCTGGTCCGCGTTCCTCGCCCCCGCGCCCCTGGCCGCTGGCACAGAGCGGCACTGTCCCCCCAGGTCCCACAGCCCCTTCTGCCCGCCCTGGGCCGTGCCCGGTGGAG